ATATAACAAAGCAACATGAATGCTTAGAATATTGGTCTACTATAACTATCCAAATTTTACTGGTCATTGTAACTACATACATTTTCTTGCATTTCATAATCTACACTCGTAAGAATCCTTTAATATCGGGAAAACTTCGGCAGCTATCCCAAACCTACACTAGTGAGGTAAAGCTTAAGGATTACTGGACGTTCTTAAAAGATTTCCGGCTTATATCGACTTCGCTTCATCTTCTTCGGGAACTTAGCCACTTTGCAGTGAAATCGTTTGGTTATGCTTTTTATAAAATGATTATTACTAAGAAAAAAGCGAGTAGTATAATCTAACACTAAATTTTATTTAGCGTGAAAAAAATTGTAGATCACTAAATTGCCGACTGAATTATATACAAAACAACTATAAAATCTTTTGAAAAGATTTCTTGGTTACGAAACAAAATAAAAATTCAAATTAAAAATTTAATTTACGTCGTTGATGCTTGAAGGCTGCTTGGACTCTCCTAGGTTCAGTTGTTTCATCTGTCTTAAAGACTCGTACAATAGAAAGATCCTTACTTTTTTTTGTTAATCATTTTTTTATCGTTCACGTCTACTCATTTTCACACTACAAAGTGACTATTGGGTAGTTTTAAACAGAATCAACTGAAGCCTATCAAAGGTGCTTTATTAATGGAAAATGTAGACTTAAGTATTAATTACTGACTTAGGTGGGGCTGAATTCCTTCTAACAAGTGTTCTAAGCCGCCCACACATTCATTTAATGTATTTACTCCCCATAAAAAGGTTAAATAGAAACACTAAAACGTCTTGATAACTTGTATTTCATACTTTTTGTATTTCAAACTGCAATCCATGTCTATTCCACGTCGTCATCATCTTCTAATAATTATATTTAGGATTTGCGTATTGCGTAAATTGCAAAGTCGAATGTCTGTTATTTTTAGTCAGCAACGTACCTGACGCCAACACTGATTGGGCAAGATATTGTTTGGCAAGCTATGTGCCATTAGAGCAAGTATTGCATTGGAAACTGAACTGAGAATGCTGAAGAGGTCATTGGAACAGGAATCACAACTGACCATATCTGAGTCAATTCTAATTCTTTGTAATTCACATCACACACATCAACAGCCTTTAATAGTCCACTGCTGGACATAGGCCTCTCCTTGTAATTAATCTTGATTAATTGACCGGCTTGGATATTATTTATCTATTATTGACCAAGGATGAAGAATGTGATTTATATCACGACCCAATATTAGAGTATAACTAAAAACTAACTATGATACATTTATCTCCAAACTCGTTCCAAATATTTTCACTCGCGTTTCTGGTGCTGCTTGACTTCTCGCAACCTCATATTTTGATAATAAATAGTCAAAACCTTATTCTACAATCGGGCTATCCAATCCAAATAAGGAATTAGTAAAAGAACGAGAAATATAATTCAAAATTATCTTATTAAATATCTTATTTATTATTAGGTCAGTATATATTAAAAAAAGCATATTTTCTTTTTTTGGAGTGAATATTAAGCGAAGTGATAGTGGCGGCCTGTCATCACTAATTAGACGCAGCCTCTTGAAGAGAGGGTACTCGGGCCAAGAGTTTCTTTGCGACGCTGGCAGCATGCTCTACTTAATTTACTCGCCGCAGTTGATCTGAGTGAAAAACTCGGTAACAACAGCTTAAGAGACTGGATTTTGATGTCAATGATTTCTTTTAACCGAAACTTTGTTTGTCATAAAAATAATTCCCTATGCAATTCTTCTTGCATATAGAATTATTTTTATTAGAATTATTTAATGAATTATTATGCTTTCTTTAACATTTTTACTGGTGAAAAGTATTTTTCGCTATGTAACACTTTTTCTACAGGAAAGGGTGAGGAAAGATCTTAAATTTGAAATCGTTTCTGGTTACAATTTAGTGCGGAAAGACGGAAATGTAGACTGACAGATAGCTGGGGAAACGTTCGCTATTTGATTTGATCAGTGAGGTCCACCTGCACTTTTTTAAATATTGTTATGGAAAATAATAATATCGAAGAATTGCAGGTAAATGAAGAAACTTTTACCTCATGGACTTGACGACGGAGGGTGCACATAACACCAATCAGTCTGTTACCACGGCTAGTGCAACATGGTCGAAACGTCAGACATTTCTAAGATATGAAGAACCTATCGTTAATTCCCGTAAACATTTTAAAAGTTAGTATAAAAATAAACTATTTTATCAATTTCACTGCAATTTAAATAAAACATGCGTTAAGTCTATTTTCACAACCGCCCAATAATGTACACATGCTCTGAGTATAATCCCATGTTCTACTCATTAGAAAATCCAGGATATCTTTGTGACACTTTTGAAATTTTTTCACCAACGAAACTAGGTAACTATGTGACACTTTCAGATAATCGTAGCCATAAACGCAATTGTATCATTATAATAGCCAACCCAATTTAAACTAATACAATTTACGGCAAATATTTACGAAATATTTGCTAAACACAATTCACTTCTTTGTAACGAAGGCTTAATGGAATAAAAAACTCAAAACATTGTGAAATCTGAAATATACAGCGAATGCTAAAGAATTTAAACGAAATTGAAAATTCAATTTTGTGCTGTATAATGCTAGCTGTACAGCTCTTACGATATTTTAAACCAGAATGGTTTTTAGCGCGTTTATGTCACAAATATCTACAGGCTGATATGTGATATGATACATTAATATTTTGTTTACCACATTAGTATTACAAGTTATTGGAGTCTACATAACAGCAGTAGCCTCAATTATATTTTCCCAACTCAAAAGACCGTAGTACTTTCAGTGATCCTGGCCTAATTCGCACTTCCTTCTTCTCCCTAAAAATAAAAAGCCCCTTTTTAGAAACGTTTTAGATACCACTCGTAAGTTTGATCTGCCCGTCTCTCTCATAAGATAGCTTTTGACCACTGTCTCGCTTAAATTCACTGTATGAGTTGCAGATACGGTAGTTGACTATTAAGTCAAAACTTAATTAAATGATTACTAATACATACATAAACATGTAAAACTAACTTATTACCGAAACGAAGCCGCTTTATTTAATGATGATTAAAGGAATTTAGACTGATTTAAAATAAATATTTTGAAGTAATGCGAACATTTTTATTGAGTACCCATTGAAATAAGTTTTAATTAGTCCGAAGCCCAATGTTTTCCGAAAAATCTGTTTCTAATTCAGTGCCATTATTTATTTAGGATCAAGAAGGCTAGTGTCTCATAAATCCGGGTATGACACTGTTATAACTCTGGTCGGGTATAAAAATACGAATCCCTAAACGTTATTGCAAAAATCTTCTATTGGTGTTGACATGGCAGTTTTGAGATAACCTTCACTGATAAGGCAGTTTTGAGAGAAACACATTTTAAGACATTTTTAGGTTGTTTCGTTGCTTAAATAAATTTCGGCCTATTGAAAACTTTTACTAGTTTTCTCTTAGAACTCAGAATACATTACTTACGCTTTTACACTCATCATTTTTATGTGCACTTTTAATAACAGCTACATATAAATAAATCTCTAATAGCTTTACTTGACAAATTTAAACACAAAATATATTTACTTCATAAAAAAAAATGTTTGTAATCGTCTTTTATGTAGACTCTAAAGTCATAGATCATCACACACGATAGCAACAATCTTTGCTTTGTCAAATATTTAGCAAAATATATTGAATAAAGTTATACCTATCGAAAATCTGTTATATGTATGTGCCGATCTACAACCGCCCGTTTCCAAGGAGTTGAGCCTTATGAGAAAAAAGGGCAAACAAAGTTTTAATTAACAGATAGATACAACGACATCAATTAATATACCAAAACACTGTTTTAATGTGTGCCAGTATATCCGTTATTAAGAACTCAAAAGTAAAAAGGCAGCGAAGAGAAAACGAGATAAAGAAAAAAGATGGAATAGAAATGAAAGTGAAGTACACATTGTCATGTAAACTTAGAAAACATACAACTTGTAAAGGGTGTCTCAGTAAGAGTGCACTTTTTCATTTTAAAATAGAAACACGTATTTTATGAAAGAGTTGTGATATTTTTATTGGATTGTAAAGAAAACATGTTCCGATTAAGTACCTACTCTTTTCATGAAATATTCCATGACTTTTATACATCTCACCGATGACGGATCTGTGATTTGAGCTCAGGAATTGTTTCTGGTTTATTCGCATAAAGCCGAGATTTCACAAAACCTCAAAGAAAAATGGTCGCTTTCCATGGTCTGCTGATTTGAGCTCCTGAGGTAGCTGAATCTTGTACGCATGTAGGATGAGGTCTTTCGTCAAAATTCGCTGCGTAGTGTTTCGTGAAAGTTCAATAATGCCGAATAGGTGTTTACGAGTTTTCGGCGACACTCTCGTTTACAGCTGCAATATTTTCAAGAGACTGGCCGGTACGTTGACGAAAATGATTCTTAATATCCATAATCGAACAAGTTTTCTTCAAATTTTTTGACCACTTTTCGAACACTTTTTGACACATTTGGTGCACTTTCTAGACTGAAAATTTGGCGAAGTTTGCGAGCGGTTTCAGCGTAACTTTCCCTATTTTTGTAATGAGTTCTCACAATTATAGCGCGTTGTTCTTTCGAAAAAGGCTTTTTTTTAATAACCGGAATATGTAATAGGTGACAGCTGTCAAATTTCAGAGTTGCCACTTGCAAGAAAAATTAATGATTCTAAATTTAAAAAGTACACTTTTACTGGGACACTCTTTATAAGCTTTTTTTTAACTGGCAAAGTTAGTCAGTTTATAATAAATTTTGCAGTCTGTATTAAAACCACTTGCCCTTATTAAACAAAGTGAAATTTATATTTTGCTTCAGTCGACCAAGATTTCCTTCCTGGGCGATTGAATTAATAAAAAAATTCAATTTACTTTAAAAACTACAATCTAATGAACACAATACAATACTATAATGTTATACAGGCCATCAGTTTTATTTGATGAAATTTGGTACCCAAGTTAAGGTTACACTATCTGCTACCGAAATTCAGACTGATACAGCCCAACACGACCTCGACTTTCCCGATGACGACAGCTTTTGGATGGAGACTACGTCAATCGATAAAAAACTTTTAACTCCAAAATTCACCAGAGATGTCCTATCGACCCTTCATCAGAAAAGCATGGATGATCGCTCAGATTCTAAAGATGAGGACATTATGGTGGTTAAAAGCCTCAACATGATAAACCAACTAAAGAGTCTCACGCCTTAGGTGAAGATATGATTATTCCATCTTGCTCCAAAAATTCAAGATATCGTCAAATAGAACAAGGCTTTTATCATCATCAGCCTATCGCAGTCCACTGCTGGACATAGGCCTCTCCTATTGCATGCCACTTAGATCGATTTTGGGCTTCTCGCATCCAGCTCCTGCCAGCCATCTTGTGCAAATCGTCACCTGACCTGTGGGCGTTCTACACTACGTTTCTATTCTATTCTATTCTATTCTATTCTACGTTTGCCGAGACGCGGTCTCCACTCAAGAACTCGTTTTCCCCAACGGTTGTCGGTCCTGCGGCTAATATGGCCAGCCCACTGCCACTTCAGCTTGCTGATCCGGTAGGCTATGTCGGTGACCTTGGTTCGTCGCCGGATCACCTCATGCCTGATGCGATCCCTTAGAGAAACGCCGACCATAGCCCTTTCCATAGCACGTTGAGCGACTTTGAACTTGTGGACCAGCCGTACCGTAAGTGTCCACGTTTCGGATCCGTATGTAATGACGGGTAGGACGCACGCATTGAAGACTTTCGTCTTAAGGCTCTGTGGGGTCGACGATGAGAAGACTCGACAAAATATCAAAATACATACAAGAATTATAATATACTAGAGTTTCAATCACGTTTTACAAGAATTATTGTTGCATTCACCAGATTTTTAGGTTACGATCACTCATATTCATGTTTCTGATTCATCTGTAACAAATTCATATTTATATGAGCAATACTATTTAAACGTTAATATATTGGAAACGACTTTATAGAAACGAGTTCCTCATTGACATATGTGTTATTTGGTATACCTATTTTCATGTGAACATATGTTACAGAGCTGAAAGTGAAATAAAATTTTGGCCATAGTCAGTCATAGAATGAAATTTCGAAGAACTGCCCCTATACATTGGGTCACAATTGTTCAGTGTTCATGCTTAATATGTAAATGCACATACCTCGTCATTCACGTATTCAATAATCAATGATCTGTTCCACTAGCACTATGCTTTAGTTTTTATTTTTCGCAATAAATTATGGTAATGTGTATTCCATGAAAGCTTCGTGTTTTGCAATGTTTTTTTAACAATTACAATTTAAGACTTACTATTTTAACATCTACATTATCATAACAAAGCAATCTTTATACATTTTGTCATAACAATTTATTTTATACTGGTGTTGATTTCTAAAGAAAAACAAAAGGTAATCTACCTTTTTTGGGTAAATGTCATCAATTTAGCGGGCCCAAAACAATAGAGCAAAAAGAGTTCGGCTAGCTTCTCAGATGAAATGATTGACGACCGCGGGGTGTAAGGCGTGCGAAGGGAAGAGCTGGAATATCAGATTATATCTCGCTTAATACATGTTCTGTCTGCAGTGATAATGTACCATGTTATGTGAGTATATTATCCGATGCTTTTTCTCTTTTTGAACATGATCATCAACTGTTAAAACACGACGTTTACATTAAACAATAACCAACGTTCTGTAGAAACTTTTATGTATAGTGAATTTATGACTATTATTATGACAATTTATTTTTCTAGTCTTATTTAATAATACTTATTTATACTTAACACTTAATTGCACGAGGTCTGCAGAAACATGTGTATTTTCAATGACAGCATTCAGTTACAAAAGATAAAAATAGAATTTTCCCTTTTTTAAATTAAACTTTGGAAGCAAATCAGAATCTTTTCTCAAAAAACTTCCCTAACATATCAAACTGTATCAGTAATAAGTAATTGCCTGACTCTTCATACATATAATTATTATTTAAGTGTGTATATCACAAACCTAATCCTAACCTACTAGACCGATTTTGACTCATTTTTGTACACAATACAAACCTTGCATAGTTTGATACTTGCATAGTTTTAGTTGATTATTAACTTATATGTAATAAGTTTACCTTAGTTCCTAAGCTATAGTGGTTGTTTTTAAAATATACCGGCGGCGGAGGCGCAGTAGCCGCGATAGAGAAAGTCAGTTTCTTCTCCCATTCTTCAACAAAATTATGGTACATGTTGAGATTGTTATAACTCATGTATTTTTTTTTGTATAATAGCTTTTCTAGACAATAAAGAAGTTTATTATTATTATTCTTATAAATTAGATCACTCAAATCATGTTGTCAGGCCGACACAGATAATAGTAATGAATGAGTTATGATGGAAGACCGTATAATATTATATTACTATGGAGAACACTGGGTACAACTGCACTCTGCACTGCGTCTGGGGGTTCTTTGTGTCCGTTTCATGTATGTTTGTAAAAGTCCCCCGCGACACATTATATATTCCTAATACGGGCGTTGCCATTTTAAAAATCTTTTTAATTTTTATTCTATAGAGGGTTAATGAGCAGACGGTCACCCGATGGTAAGGAACTACCGCTGCCCATGGACACTTGCAACTTAACACACACAAGGTCCCAAGTGCGTTGACGCACTCCCGAGAATGAGTAGGTGGAGGCATTTTGGTTCTGGTAACCTCATTCACTCGATGTAAAGCTACGAACAATTTGCTAAGAATCTTTTAAATCATTGTGACTTCAAGGGATAAAAAAAAACACACATTCGGACTATAAATACTAGTAATTGTAGTGAACTCGTTCAAGAAATTAGAGGCACACCGTTTGCTTTTATCGGGTATATGAACTAATTATTCATTAGAAATTATAGTTGTTCGTTCAGTGGGTAAAGAAAAAAAAAAAATCTTTTCATTAAGAAATATAACTTTAACGCCATCTATTGTCTAATAGCTTATACAGTTAAAATCTTAAATAGAAAGTTTGAAACATTTCCAATGTCATTGAGCAGCGACTGGCGTATTATTCTTTTTAAAAGTAGCCTTGTCACATTTAAGGTGAGCCGGACGCCACAGTACTTACAAACACAATGAAATAAACTTAATAACTAAATATAAAGGAAAGCTATAGTTTTGATGACAGTGCTACAAAGACTTTATTCTTTTGTGTTCACAAAGGGCAAAGTTCGAGGTATTACCAATGCGGATGGAACTACAAAGCGTGCCATTGCTTGGTGTTAGTACTACTATGTGCCGGTAGATGGCACTGTCTGCCCGTCTTTTATTGTCACATTAATTATTTTTTAACGAATGGTGGTTGAATTCCCACATACCATAACGAAAAAATCAAAATAATAATAAAATATCTATACTTATAACTGTAAAAGTCAGTTCGTTTGTTTGTTTCGCTTTCACGCCTAAACCACTAAACCGCTTTTTTTAATTCTTTCACCAATAGAAAGCTACTCGTACATTATCAGCCAGTATACATAGATTACTTTTTACAGCGATAAAAGACATATACGAGGGCGGAGCTGAAGGCATACGCTAGTAAACTATAAAATCTCCTACAGTAGGTTCAGTACATTTGATTTATGTTTTTACAATTTAACTCCAATCTCTTTACAATTGCAAATTTTGTCATTAAATGTATGGGGAGTGGCAAATATCGATTTAAATCGAATTAACATACGGAGAGAGTTATTAACCTTGACCTTAACTATGAAAACTCATATTAAATCATTGTATATGTAACCAACGCTACCAGCATCCTAATAATAGGTCTTTACCTATGAAATTGCCGTTTTGTATGCAATAAGTGAAAGTACCTATTTTTTCAAACTTTTTTATTTCTGTTATTCGAAGTAATCACCCATGCAATCGACGCATCTTTGCCAACGCATTGGCAGTTTATTGATGCCCTTCTTGTAAAAATCAGCTGGACGGGACGCAACAAACTCTTCAAAGGTATTTTGTACTGCCTCTCGGGAATTGAATTTTTTACCCACTAAAAAGTTGTCTAAATTTTGGAAAAAGTAATAGTCGGTAGGTGCAAGGTCTGGTGGTCACATCTGCAACAGGCTTTGGTCAATCGGTCGTCCCCATTGCTCCTTCACGACAACGCGCGACCCCATACTGCGCAACAGACAGTCTCCAAGCTGCAAGAGCTGGGGTTGGAAGCTCTCCCTCATCCGCCATACTCACCACGACTGCACGGATGGCGTAGAGGTTTAAGCGGTCGCCACGCCGCTTCCTACTGCGCCGAGTGTTGTGGGTTCCAACCCCACATGGGACGACACTTTGTGTGATCCACAAATTGTTGTTCTGAGTCTGGGTGTTCTTTGTGTCCGTTTCATGTATGTTTGTAAAGTCCCCCGCGACACAGGATTTATTCCTAATGCGGGAGTTGTCTTTTTTTAAAAAGAAAGAAATTCTTATAATAGTACGAATAGAGAAATTTATGTTTCCCACGAGTGTAATTCTTGACGTTGGAATCAACGGTTTCGGTTTTTGGTAGGTAAGAATAGGTTAAAAGGTAGGGTTTTATGTTCCCTATTTTTCATAACCTTAACACCGTTTAAAATATGTTTATTGCTAGAGTTAAGTATAATTGAACTCAGCTGGGCATTAACGTATGGACTCAGTTCTTGGAAGCGGCTAAGGGACAAGAGTGGTATGTGAGGGGGCGAGCACCGGTGACGCGAATGACGCCGACGGGTGCGGGGCACGGCGGCGCATCGCCCGCGACGCGCGGCCAGTGCTCGCCCGGCCCACATCCCGCGCGCATGTCCCGAACGACAAACTCTTCTTAACAATTTCCACACAGAACGCGACTCCGTTACATAACATACCTTGAAGGGCACTTTAAAACCTCATAGTGTTAAGGCTTTTTTCTGTGATCAATAAATTTTTGCACTTTTTACACGCGTAGTTAGGTTAGTGTTACGTAAGCTGCCGCCGTCCACGAAGCTTCGCTTATTACTGCTTATTGTGATATTCGGTTGTGATATATCTGTTTTAGGCTAGCGTATGCTAGTAGCGTAGTTTCACAGGCTAGTGATTTGTTATAACTCGCATTGTTAAGTTTGATAATGTAACGGAGTCGTTGACGTCTAAGCCGCCGTTCAGACGTACTTCTGTTTGGGAAATTATATCCTGTCGGCTCAGTAACTTGTTGAGCGTGTTTATCCTTGATCCATGTCCCTGGCCCTGAGTGTCCCGGTAGTATGGTGAGCACTGGGTGGGTGTGATTCATTGTCTGGGAGTTCGTACCGAGCGAACGGTCGGTGTTCGCACCGGACTTGTTGATCGCGGGGTGATAATGCGCGCGTAGCGCTCTCGAGAGTGGCTCGTCACGGATTCGCGCGGCTGGTGGCGGCGCGCCACGCCATCTGGCGGCTGCGGCGCTCCGGCTCGCAGCCAGCGCACGACAACAATGACCATGAACAGACCAACCATCTGTACGTTTCTTCCTCTATCTTCAACGCTCATTGTCTGTCTTGCAAGCTTTTGTTAAATCATGGTGTATCATCAAACTTCATTGCCTTTACTGTGTCTTAAATTTTATTTTTTTATTTTAAATGTCTTTGAAGTTAACTTTAAGTATCGCAACTTTAATAAGATTAAAGCATTTCTCATTTCAAAGAGTCGCAATGTAAGGAAAGTGTCAGTGCAAACAAACCAGTTCAGTTCAGCCTCTTTTTCACATTTAGTTTGTTTTGGCTCGTCTTCCAGCTGTTTCCCTGCTTTACCTTTTTAGTTTTTATACTTCCCATGTTAAGGTATCAGGCTCTTGTATCGTCGACCATTACATGAATGCCAATTGCAATAAACGTATATCCCACAATTGTTGTTTTATTTTGCGTTTTGATGTATGCTACCTCAAGCGATTGGGTGAACGTTTGCTTGTAGTTAAATGTTTAGAGAGATACACTTGATGTTTAGCTGAAGCATATAAACACACTTTGACTGATACACATGCAATATATGTTTGATATTTTGTTTGTGTATCGATAAACGTGCTGCACACTATTCATCAAAGTCACCCATGCTGTAGTCAACTTGGTTACGTAATGGCGCCCAACGTGGAACCACTCTGGTGGGGTAGTAATAAACTAGGTACCTTATTGCAGTACGTAATCATGACGTCACAGTTTTATTTATAAGCATAATATCGTGTTTATTACATCTTCATTCTGCTACCATTAATATCCACTTTAATTTTTTTTTATAAAGCTAAGCCAAATAAGCCAACATACAATGTGAGAACATTCTACTTTCAAGATTTGAGCGAAATTGGAGTACCAAAAGTGGAACGATGCAGTCCTTGTCCCGACCTTGACCAGAGTTTCGACTGAACGTCCCTGGATTACGATCACGTCAGGCTCGCATGAGTTGCAGAACCTGAGCTTGGTGGATCGGATTCCCCGCTTTTCAATAAATACTATAAGTTTGTGTATAAAGAGAATTATATAAAGAGATTCTAAGACCTAAATAAAGAATGGTCGTTTTTGGGGTTGATAATTTCACTTTAATTTATATGTTGCCTTAAAAGTATCAATACGTTGAAAAATGCTTACTTATAAATTATTGAATTCGGTCGTAAAACCAACTTTATATGGGTTATATCTTAGATTAAAACTGTCTACCAATTAGAAAACTGTTAGCATCAAATACCGTCGTTACGCATTCTGTGCCAGGTTTTGTTTGAGTATATTTTTAATTGAATTATAAGCAGTAATACATAATATAATAATACATTATGCAACTTTAATTTACTCTACTTTTCTTTTTAATCCACAAACTTCGATAATTACAAAAATAATCTTCAAATTAAGAAAAATGTAAAATGCTTTTTTAATTACAGGCAAACTCAAAGAGGTGCTCAGTTTTTTGAAACAAATAATTTAAAATAAATAAATTTAATAAAAATGTATGAAAATGACAAAGTATATTTTTGCCATAAAGTAAATTTATCTTTTAATAGAGGTAATTCATTAACTGATATATTTATGCACATACATTAGTAAAGTACCGTTTCGGACGCTTAGTGAGCAAAACGTAGCTGTCACCCACACCAACATAATAAATTGGCCCATTTGTTTTAGTTGTTTTGTACGATACTCCGTCTAGACATAAGTGATCTAAGATTAAAAAAAAACCTTCAACTAGCTCAGTTCCACACTATAGCACACTTCTACTTAAGATATGAAACAAATTTTATATTTCTTTGAGACGAAAAATTGTTCTAAGGGATATGTTTTTTCTATAATTATATAATAGCTTTTAAACTTTACTTTTAAATAAATCAATTAGAATTTAAAAAAACACGCTTTTGTAAACCGCCAAACTAAAAATTGAAAATAATTTTCATTTAAAAAGTGGAAAATAATCTACAACCTGAATGAACTAGTGGTCATTGATGTTGTAGATTGTTGTAGGTCATTGATTAAATTCAATTCGCGTCCTTCATTGTATGGTCCATCTTTTTAGTAACGGTAGAGAACTGGCTCTCTACCGTATCTCTTGCACTCCTCTTCCGTTGCCTCTACAGAGGCATAACTTTCTCATAAAACAAAGCAGCGGAATTCCACGCATTCTCACTTTAGATCATGGTCTCTAGCGAGAGACGTCCCACGTCAATATAACTCCAAATATCCACCGTGTAGTGGATACTAGTTTAATGGGAAGTATCTAAAAGTCTTTGATTTATATGCGAAATGGAAAAATAAGTTTAAATACACCATGGCTTCTGCATGCATTGACCTATATATTTAAGGGACCGCAGAAAAATGTGTTTGTTGTTAATTTTAACTTGCTTTTACGTGTTTCTGAGAAAATTAAATTTACAAATTGACAAAAAGATAAACCACCAAATAGTCAAGCAAACGGAAGATTATAGAAGGTATCCTGTAAGGATTCTTTTTCACTTTTGAGAAACGGAGACTAGAATAACTAACTTACTTCTACTTCAATTCAAATTCAATTCAAGATTTTTTTACCACATTACTATATTTCCCACCATTAGGTTGGTGGATCTTCACATTAAAATGGTCCCATTATTATTTGAAAGGTGCAGACGGGACCCTTTCAAATAAGAAAATAATTTTCTTCTTTGGGATTTCATAATGGCGATTTTTCGAATTTGCAGTTTGCGTTTTCGATCATTCGCTACGAGTTTGTGTCACTTTAAAATCGTCCTTTCAATGGGAGCATTTTTGGCATCCAAATAACATATCCCCAAAATATCTGATGCATCCGAATATTTTTTTTTCGATTTCCCTTACATTTTTGAAAACCTGTAGAAGCTTTTCCCACCACATAAAATGGATATATTACATACCTTTTATTATTACTGATGTATGTGTTGTTGTTCGTATCAAAATATGTACGTAATAATTTGAGTTCTGTTTAAAAGCTTAAGCAATAAAAAATATGTACTTAACTACATATGAGACTGTTATCAGAGGAAAGTAAATTTTTACAAAATTGTAAAACTATTATTATTAATAGTTTTTTTGTTTTTTGGTACGCGCTAATCTCAGGAACGACTTCTTAGAATGAATTTTATTTTTAGGTTTAGATAGTCCGTTCATCGAGGATGGCTAGAGACTATATAATATCACTCTTAGAACAATAGAAGCAGAGCATCAATTACCATTTCTTTTAATTTCTTAGGTAATAATTGCCTTCCATTAAGTTATTTTCGTCCCTTTATGATCATTTGTGAAAAAAACTTTCAAACTTACATAAACAGTTTGGCCCTATAGAAGACCCTCCAGACACACTGTACTTTTTTGCCTCGGTCTCTATAGAGTGGTAGGCTCTTTGTAGCTCTGCGGTCGTCGGATTTACTTTTTCTTTCCTTTTTCCAGTGAGCGGAGCTTAATAAAATCCGTTACCATATTTAGAGAAATCACATTCAGAGAAAGTTTGGAAGCTTGTAATTCTCTTGAACCACAAGACGGATTGCAGAAGAGTTTATACTTTGAATTATGTATTTTGTTTATATGAGACAGCCTTATACTAATAAAATGTAAGCTAATTTATTTTTATCTGAAAATGAATGAAACCAGTTTTTTGTATGAGAATGCTTGCCTTGTTTTGTGTACTTGTGCCCAACAAATTATTTGTGAGGTATATTTAGTAAAATGACAATAAATTATGAAGGTTGACATTAAAACGCTCCCGACACAAAAGTCCTATTTTCACAACGTGAACAAGTAAACATTTATCCAACAGTGCAAACATTGGACAACCCAAACACAGGAACTCGTAAAGTTTTGCTGATAAATATTTTATTTTTGAGTATTACATGGGATTACTCGACTCGCTCATAACGATTTTAAGCTGTAAAAAGGTAACTTTAGGTAAACAGTTAGTATGTAAACTTTAGCTGTAAGCACTGTTATTTTTTTACCTACTTCAATAAAAGGATGAGGTCTTAAATCGGTATTAAAAAATGCATGTTATTTATGTTTGTCACCCGACTTCCTTAACGGATTTGGAACATTATTATTTTATACACACACACATATATACTTTCAATCGGTTTGGTTCGATTCCAATTTATATACACACAGTGTATAACAATTCATCATGAGGTCAAGCATTGAAGTCGGTAATATTTTTGAAAGTTATTATTATTTAACAAATTACAACAAAAACATGACGAAAAGTTATGGACTCAACAGTATTTCTAGAAATGTACACCGAAAAAAGCCTTAAATAATATCAAGCAATTGTAATAGCAAACGCTTAATAGCTTACGACTTAGTCGTATGTATATTTTGACAGTTTTCTCCGTTGAACACGTTAATAGTCCGGTGTCCCGTATGTGATACACGGGGTGCAATTCTGACAAATTCGTGTACCCTTTGAGGCACGAGCCTCAGGCCACGAGCACACAATCTGTGTCCACTCGAACCATGAATTTTTCAAATTAGTAAGTGTTTTCTTTGTGAACTTATGACCAAGGATCTAATAAACAGGAAAAGTTAAAAACATGTATGTTGACATATTAATGTAGATTATAGTGCAATAAAAATATTTTACCTTTCATAAGCTTTGAAACTGAAATATTGACATTTAAAATCAATAGCATAATATTGATTTATGGAGAGTTCAAAGTACTTAAATTAGTTCGACTACTCCCATAGAGGGCATGAACCGAATATATATATAACTATCTAACTATAGAGAGGTGAGGTCATATCTGGGAGCCGTATCAAGCACTGGGAATACGAGTAACATGAGTGAAATAAATATCCGAATATTTTGTAAAATATTTGCGATAATATGTAGACTGTACCTTTAACATTACCTCCACTGCTATTATTCAAGGTTACGAAAGTGCCGTTTTTAATTTTTGGCTCATGACTATGATATACGCAATACAACTTCAATTAATGGTTAGCAAAGTATTTGCGATAAAAGAGAAGGAAAACTTGACACAAACCCTTTTTTTTTTTTTTTTTTTTTAACGTGTGGAA